ATAATTATATAAACCCCCCTAACTAGACCTTCCTAATTATAACTCACTCACAAGAAACTCTCATCATCATCACATATATTCATAATTCATCCACCATGGATGAAAAAAATGACGAAGAGGTTCGTCTCGGGCTCGACTTGGCTCTCGGCTTGAACGATTCTAATCCGAAGAAGAAAGCAAACACTCCTCCACAAAACAACAAACGCGCGTTTTTTCTCGATCTTTCGATCCCTCTTCATCAGACGAGCAATCACGGTACGAGTCGCGAGTCGAGCTCATCACGGATTAATAGCGATTTTCGCGGCAACTTAGGGGATGATGATGATGAGAGCAAACTTATCATGGATTTTAGCTGCAGGAAAAAATTGAGGCTCACTAGAGATCAAACCACATTGCTTGAAGAGAGTTTCAAGAAGCAAACGACTCTTAATACGGTTAATCTATCTGTCTATCGGTCTATCTTTGTTTATAATTTTTTATTTATTTATTTATTTTTTTTTTTGTTCCGGGTTTTGTTATGATTTTAGGTGGATGAAAAAGAGGAAATATTAATTTGAGATTATTATTATTATTATTATTATTATTATTATTATTCTTGGCTGATATATGAAATGCAAAATTAATTTATTTTGGTCACACAGGCTCAAAAACAAGCGCTTGCGGAGAAATTGAATCTCAAAGCAAGACAAGTTGAAGTTTGGTTTCAAAACAGAAGAGCAAGGTACATAGCTAGCTATTAGTTTCATTAATCTTCCTAAAATATTTCTATACACACATAAAAAAAATATCGACTCCCAACGAAAAAAATCGATATGAATATACTCCAACTGAAAAATTCATACAATATTCCAATGTTATAAAATCTTCCATTGGAATTCTATTTCTATTGGAGTTCTAACGGTTCATTGTTGTATGAATTTCCGTTAGAATTGGTTTTTTAAGCTAGTAATTTCAACCGTGAAAAAAATTGTTGTTGGAATCATCAAAATCCAACAAAAATTCCAGCGCCTAATTAACCTTGAATTTTGCAACAAAAATTACGAGATTGGACTTACTCTTGGTATATATAATCGATGAAATTTATATAATTATTTGTTGCTTTTTCACTCCATGAATAGAAAATTTGCTCCAATTTATCCTAGTATGCACTCTTGTAATGTTTACATAACAATTAAGTTTGCCCACATTTACAAATAATTAAACTCAAAACCTAAACAAACTAACTCAATTTTTGTTTGTTTGTTTGTTTATTGGCAATGCCCATTTCTATTTTCTTCTTCTTCCTCTTTTTTTTTTTTTTT